GTTAATGTACTTAGAAACTTTCATTTGGCCATGCTCACTATCCTGTAGTGTACAAAGCATACACATCCACATAAATACTCGATATTGTAACCCTTGAGCATGCGATGCTGATACTTTTGGATGGTTAAATATAAGAGTAATCTCTTCCGCAGTTAACGGATCATGATGTTGTAGAATAATTCTATTTTGTTTTAACTGTTTTATTTTGCCATCTAGTGTATTCTACAAATTTCTAAAATCATCTTTGTGTGATAATTTAAATTTAGTAGGGCCAGCTTGTGCATTATTGATCTATTGACATAATAGGATTAATGCATTTTTCAGAGAAGAAGGTGAATATTCTTTTCCACTTTTAAGTTGCCATACACCAACTATAAATTCTTGCATTTCTCGTTCAAGTTGTGCCTTGTCTGTTATTGTTTCAATGTCATAATTGTAACCAACTTTTTTACACCAGTTTCTAAGTACATTAACCCATTTCTTAATAGATTTTGTAGTATTAGCTGGAACCCGTAAGTTAGTAATTTGATCTAATTCTTTAGTTGATGGTAAGTAACTTTCTTGAGAAGAATTCATATGCTATATATATAAGTATATTTTTTTTTAATATAATATATATTTTTATAAATTTAAAATTTTAAATTAATTTAAAAAATATTACTTTATATTTTGCAACCTTAGGCATGTTTAAATTAAATAAGATAATCAAAAGAGTTCTACGAAATGCAAAGTTTATATTTATAGTAAAAAAAGTTTTATGCAGATCGTCATGGCCAGAAGAATAATACTGTTACTGGGTACGTAAGTTACCAATAACTGCCTTATTCATCAAAATTTTTGGCGAATAACTGCAGTTATTGGTCGCTACGCGCCCAATAACTATATATTATTTTTAAAATATATATTTAATAAATATTTTAATATTATTGTTAAATTATTAGCAGGTAAGTATAAGCTTTATTATTTTTAAAACTGTTATTGGTGATCTTAAAATATGTTATCTACAAAATTATAATGCACATTTTTTTGTTAAATTAGTAAGAGGTAAGTGCTTTAATATATTTTGTTGTAAATTTTTTATTTGATTTTTAAATTATATACCTTCTATATCTAATGATATATACTTTAACATATGCATTTTTTACAAATGCTTCTGTCAACTTATTAGTCGGTAAGTATAAGCTATATTATACTTGTTTAAAATTTACTGACAAATATTTTATCAAATGCTTCTCGAATTTTTAGCCTGTAAGTATAGGCTTTATTATGTTTAAAAATTTTATTTGATTTTAATATAAATTTTATCTATATTTCTTTTATTGAATTATCAGCAAGTAAATATAAGCTTTATTGTATTTGCTTTAATATTTATTTAATTTTAATATAACTTTATAATGCATATTTTTTATTGTATTATTAGAAAGTAAGTATAAGCTTTAATATGTTTATTTTTAAATTTCATTTGATGATTTTAAATAATCTATTTCTAACTTTATAAAATATATCTTTTATTGGATTATTAAAGTGTAAGTATAAACTCTATATATTTGTTTTTAGATTTTTATTTGATAAATTTTAAATTTTGATATTATTTATTTATAAAATACATTTTCTCTTGTCAATTTTTAGTTGGTATGTATAAGCTTTATTATATGTTTTTGAAATTTTTATTTGACTTTAAATTATGTTACATGCTTTTTTTATATCTTTATAATGCGTATTTTTTTTTATTAATTTATTAGCAAGTAAGTACAAACTTTATTAGTTTTTAAAAGTTTCATTTGATGATTTTAAATAATGTTATTTATAATTTTATAATATATATCTTCTTTGATTAAATATTAGCATGTAAGTATAATCTTTATTTTCAAATTATTATTAATAATTTTTAAAATATGCATCTAATATGTATTTAAAAAATGTTTCTATTAATTTATTAGTGAGTAATTATAAATTTTATCACAATCATTCTAAATTTATATTTGATCATTTTAATGAAATTGCTTATAATTTTATATTATTTCTTTTATTTAATTATTAGTGAGTAAGTATTAGCTTTATTATATTTTTTCTAAATTTTGACAAATTTAATAGATGTTATTTATAACCTCATATTCATTTTTTATTGAATTATTAGTGAATGAGTACATATTTTTCAAAGTTTTATTTTATTTTTAAATTAAATTATTTATCATTTTCCAATATAATTTTTTTTTTAAAAATTGCTAGGTGGTATGCATAAATTTTTTTATAATTACTTTACAGAAACTTGAATATCTTAATGTATAGTAACTCATAGTGACTATATAATTACTATTAAATTTAATAGTAACTATATAGTGCTATATAGTTACTATGCAGTTACTGCACATTAAGATATTCAGATTTCTGTATAGTATTTATTATTATAATTATTTATAAACTTACTATTTGATAATTTTTAAATATCTATTTTTATATCTAACAATTCATATTTTAACAAATACTTTTGTAAAACTATTAGCTGGTAAATATAAGAATCCCAAGTTTTTAAAATCATTTTGATAATATTTTAAAATGTCTATTTGATAAATATTTTGACATGTGCTATCAAATTATTAGCGGGTAAATGTGAACTTTATTTCTTAAAATTATTATTTATGATTTTCAAAATATGTATTTACAATATTTAACAAATATTTCAATCAAATTATTAGCAAGTAAGTATAAACTTTATTATATTTTGTTTCTAAAATTTCACTTGATTTTTATTTTATGCTAATAATAATTTATAACATATATTTTTTTCTATTAGTGTATAAGTACTGTATATAGTTACTAAAATTTCAATTGATCTTTATGTATACTAATTATAACTTTATAATATCTATTTCTCTTGCCAAATTATTAGTTGGCAAGTATAAATTTCACTATAAAAAAATTTATTTATCACCTAGTGAATTTTTTTCTGCGTAAAAATATGTATTTTTATATCTTACCATATAGCATTGCAGCTAGCACTATGCATGACAAATAATTTAGAGAATATTATTTATAGAATCATGCGATTTAAATACATGTGATTTAATTTCTCATTATGTAAAATATCAGGTCACACCGGGTACTTTGTGCAATGCTGTGAGTAGGTTTAGCAAAGTTATACATAAATTTTGTAAGAAAATTTTGTTAACCCTATATTGCAAATTTATTGGTTAATCTAAGCAGTAATGTCTCACGCTGGGTAATAAATATATAAATTTCTCATAATATTATCTATTTTTATATCTAACGATTCATATTTTAACAAATGCTTTTGTACTACTATTAGCTGGTAAATATAAGAATCAAGTTTTAAAATCATTATTCAATAAATGTATTTTTCAATATTTAAACAAATTTTCTATCATATTATTAGCGAGTAAGTATAAACTTTATGTTTTAAAATTATTATTTATGATTTTCAAAATATGACTATAAATTTTTAACATATGCTTCTACCAAATTATTAGCAAGTAAATATAAACTTTATTTTTTAAAATAATCATAATTTTAATATATGATTTTACAATATTTAAACAAATATTCCTATCAAATTTTTAGAGGGTGAGTATAAATTTTATTATATTTGTCTATTTAAAAATTTATAATACATATTTTCTTCTATTAGTGGGTAAGTATATAGTTACTAAAATTTTACTAAAACTTTATTATATTTGTTTCTTAAATTTTAATAATATTATTTACAAATTTATATCGCATATTTTCTTCTATTAGAGAGTAAGTATATAATTACTAAAATTTCACTATAAACTTGATTATATTTGTCTTTAAAATTTTACGTTGTTTAAATAATACTATTTATAAATTTATAATGCATATTTTCTTTATTAGAACGTAAGTATATAATTACTAAAATTTTATTATAAACTTTATTTATTTGACTCTAAAATTTTATTGTTTTTAATAATAATATTATATTTTAAATTTATAATATATATTTTCTCTATTAGAAAGTAAGTATATATATAGTTACTAAAATTTTGCTATATTTTAAATAATGCTATTTATAACCTTATACCATATATTTTTGTCTATTAGAAAGTAAGTATATAGTTAATAAAATTTCACTGGATACTTGATTTTTATGTTATATCAATTATAACTTTATAATATATATTTTCTTTTGTCAATTTATTAGTTAGTAAGTATAAATCTTATTGAATAAATTTATTTACCACCCAGGTGAATTTTTTCTGCTTGAAAAAAATGTATTTTAGAATCTTACCATACAATGCTGCAGTGTGATAAATATGGAGAATAGTAACTACCCAGTATCATCATCAGATGTCACTTTCACGTGATGATCTACATCAGATTAGCCAATAATTAATACAATTTAATGTAATGTAACATGATTATGAAGACCCAAAAAAACGTTAATTTTGGCAAAATCGTTTATTTACAAAAATTCACATAAGAAACCGCTTTTGTTACTAACAAAAATATTCTCTGAGTAATTTTACTATTGCAACCTCATTCTCTAACATTAGTTTATATGCTAACCCTAACATAAACGAACTTAAAATTTTTCGGTGGTCAAGTGAAAGTGACATTTTTGATAGCAATACTGGGGAAAATTGAGAATAGTTATATAATCATGTGATATATGATTTAATTTTTCAATGTGTAAAAATCGGATTAGATACTGTATCGCAATGCTTTGCAACACTGTGCAATGCTATACAGATTTATTGATTAATCTAGATGGTAAAAGCTTACTCTGGGTGGTAAATAAGTAAATGGCGGTGTTAGTAGAAACTAAGCAAATTATTAATTAAAATATTTCAACAACTATTAAACTTAATAAAAAATTTTTATTTTAATCTATAACTATATATAAAAAATAAAAAATTTTTTATCAATATGGCTTAATAGTTTCTACTGATATCCCCAAATTAATTTTAATATAATTACCTTAAAATTATTATTTTTAAAATATGTATTCAATAAATTTTTTAACAAACATTTTTGTCAAATTATTAGCGAGTAAATATAAGCTTTATTATATTTATTTTAAAACTGTTATTGATAGTCTTAAGATATGCTATCTACAAACTTATAATGTATATTTTTTTTGTTGAATTATTAGAATGTATGTATAAGCCATATCATATTTGTTATAAAATTATTATTAACAGTTTTTAAAATATTCATTTTAACAAATACTTCTGTCAACTTATTAGCCCGTAAGTATAAGCTATATTATATTTGTTTAAAATTCTTTGACAAATATGACAAAAATTTAACAAATACTCTCGAATTTTTAGTGTGTAAGTATAGGCTTTATTACTTTTGTTTTTAAAAAATTTATTTATATTAAATTATAACCTTTTTTTTTTTTATTGAATTATCAGTGGGTAAATATAAACTTATATTATATTTGTTTTTAAAATTTTATTTTATTTAATATAATTTATAATTATAGCGAGTAAGTATAAGCTTTAGTATCTTTATAGAGACCTACTAATTTAGCAACTTTAGAACTACTTTGAAGTAACTATAAAGTAATTATATAAATACTTTATAGTAGCTATAATTTTAAAGTTCAAAATAGTGATACAGCTACTATTATTTTACTACTGTTTTACTATACTTTTACTACAATTTTTTAAAAAATCGATGTTTCAATTTTTAAAAATTTTTTTA